GTATTGAATCTATATCGGTACAAGAGTTGTTAGTAAATAAATATGAAGAAATTGCAGGTGATTCTTTTGGTGTATTTCATTTGTGTCAGCGGTGAGTGGATTTTCTTTCTTTATCTATATTTATATCTTGCGACCGTAATAGCGGATGCTATCTCTTTTATAGAAATGTTCGACAGAGTGGAATCATCGCAGAAAACCAGAAGCGGGCAAGGCAGTGGTAAACAACGCCAGCGCGTGATAATCCAAAATCCTCCTATGAGATCATGTCAACCCAAAGAACTTGTAGGAATTTGTAGAGTAGCGTGCATGATACTGAAACAATCAGTGTGTAAAAAAAAACAGTTACGTGCCGATGTCCCAAGAAACTTGAACGCAGTATTACATAATGTACTCCGTGATAAACGCAATAGAGCAGTGTTTTTCAACCTGTGGGTCGCGACCCCCAGGGGGGTCGCAAAGCCTTACACGGGGGGTCGCGGGTTAAAAAAAAGACAAGCGTTTGTAGGTCCTACACTACAATAAAAAAAACTATACCCTCAGTGAGAAGGCTGTGCCTGTTTATTTTACAGTATGGCTGGTTTTTTGATCGATATTTAGGTCTCAACAGAAAGAAACTTAAATAGGTAGATTTTAAAATTACAGACAGTTTTAATATGGCCCTGGGGGTCGCCAGAATTTTTTAACTTGTAAAGGGGTCGCTTATTCAAAAAAGGTTGAAAAACACTGCAATAGAGAATAGAGATGATGATTCCGATATTTGTCATAGATAAAATGCAATAAAATGGGTACAAAAAATTTAAATACTTAATTTCGTTTGACTCTGAGGTTCATTTTAGTGAATATTCTGGTGAATATCAGGTCCAAAGCCTTAAATCGCTCCCGAAAATAACAAAATTCCTTTTGCGTTTTCAAACTCGTGTTGGAGCCAGAATATTTTAAGATTTTTTTTTTTGCTCCGTTTTCTCGTCCTTTCGCAACTCCCGGCCATTCGAGTTTCCATCTCGACCAACGTTGGCAAACACGTGGATTTTATACTAAAAATTATAGAGATCCACAGAATTCCTTTTTCCGTCGTTGAAAAGAAAATATTTGTGGACATTCGTTAAAACCTGGCCCTTGTTTTCTTGCCATAAATTCTCTATAAGATAAATTGACATGAAAAATCCTTTTTACTTTTACTTTATTTATTCCCGATACCAACCTAGGTACAGTACCTAATCAGCTTAGTGTATGACTGAACATGTGAGATGAATCAAGTTTTTAAACACCTTTCTTTCTTTCTTTGGTTCATATGGAGACTACAGCCACTGCGGCTCTCTTCTCCGACAAGCTTCTGAACACCTTGTAGGTGTCACGATCTTTAAGGAGAACATGAAGACCACATGCCCAGTTGATATCCCTCTGGCCAAGAGTAAGGACAAGCTCGTGCCTAACATCCTCTGTCATTGAACACTTGTATAGGTCTATATAGTGCTCGACTCCGTGGTGACATACTATGATACGCTTCTTGTCTAGTCTTCTAAATGGCTTGTGAGCTCTAAGATTGGCTTTACTTTACCGCTAGACTTATTACACCACCACAGGAAATCAAATTAGATTTAGAAAAACACTATTTTATTTTCAGAATGCATTTCGGGCATGGAGTCCCTCATCAGCTTTTCGCTACAAAATTAATGAGGTTAACAATTTTTATAAAAAGACCGTGATTGACAGAAACGAACAAAGAATGTGTACTTACATTTGGCATGTGGATTCGATGCGTTGAACATTAATTAAAAGACTAAGCACGCGATAAAACAAGATTTTCCATTAAAAACGGTAATGTTGATACAATAACATAATAATAAACTGAGGTTCTGGTAAAACAGTAAAGTCGTAAAAATATACATTGTTAAAACAAAAAATGATAAGTAGATTCACAGTAACACGAACAGAGTAACAAGACGATTCGAAGTACATTCCAGGGTAACCGTCACCCTCACCCCTACCGTTTTCACACCTCTCCCCTCCCTCCACGCCTCCTCTGGTCAAATATGCCTACCACGATTCGTGTAACTTTTGACCGGAGTTGTTATTCATGATTTCCTCTTTGTTTTTTATTATTTCTAAGTGTTCGTACCATCTTCTTTTATAAGTATTTTGACAGTATCCTTTACATGTTTACAATCTGAGCCTTCATTATTACAGTGGGCGGCTACAGCTGATCTATCATTGTTGTGTGCTATGGCAGAGGTTTGTTCATTGAAACGGACCTTTAATTCCCTACTAGTTTCACCAATGTAAGATTTGGGTGTGGTACAGTCGCATACAAATTTGTAAACAACGTTTTTTTGGTCCCAAATGTTGGCTTTTCTGTTAGGTACGTTTATTTTCTATTGTAAGCTGTTGCGATGTTCGGGTACCAAAATATTATTATACTTAATTAATTTACTTTTAATTCTTTCAAAGATTTTCGTAACGTAAGGAATTTTAAAAAATTTATAAGCAGTGTTGTTAATTGGTTGTTTGTGTGCATTAACATATTTATTATTAAGCCAGTTACTGATCATATGCTTGCTATAACCGTTCATTAAGTACGTTTTTATGATGTCTTCGATCTCATTGGATATATCGGTATCATATGTGGTACGTTGCATAATTTTATCCAAGTACGTGTAGAAGGTATTCTTTTTTTTATGTAAGTTGGTACTTCAGATGTAAAGTGTATGACACTGTCAATAGTACAGAGTTTTTTATATTTTTTAAAGGTTGTTTTGTCTTTGTGTCTCGTGACCAGAATGTCTAAGAATGGTACTGACAGTTGCTTTCAGGTTCTAAGTCAAATTTAATGTCAGTATC